CTGTCCATGCAATGTTTTTTATTTTTACCTTATTGCACTTTATTTTGCTTGTTTTATGGGACATACTTGACTACATTAGATTTTGATTACAATCCCCAATAAAATATGATAAAATGCTAATTATATTTGCCTTTTTTAATTCATTGAAATGTAAAGGATTGTGTGAAATTTCATCACTTCAGCTACTAACCCCAGTATCGAACTGAATCAACTCGTATCGTATCGTGGGATTTTCTGAGATATAAAAAAAGAAAATCGAACCGTTAGCTTAATGAATCGATATTGTATCGTATCGTATCGCGAGGAAAGCTGTGATTTACACCCCTAGCTTATTCTGCTTAAGGTCATGTAATGCAAAAGAATAGTGATTCACTGTTCACATCTGGCAGTAAAGGGGGCATAGTGGAAAACTCATTGTAAAGTCTGATGACTTCTGGCAGAAGAGAAATAAGGTAATCATCCCACGGAAGTTGCACGGGCTGAGAAACATCAGTGTTGGTGTGCCTCCTTGATCACTGCAGGTATCATTTTCACATGGTTGTCCGTGACTCTCAGAGCTTCACGCTGGTGATCCTCTCCCTGCCACTGTAAATAGGACCATGGTCTGCTTCCTGCAGTCAATGACCACCTCCTTGGCCTTGAGATGTCTCAAATCCATTCTCCCAGAAGCCTCATCTCCTCCCGGTAGACCAGTCATCATTGTTGGTGATCTACAAACTGGATGGACATGGAGCTATGTTGAGTCCTATAGCCATGTGTGATGGAGGAGTACAGTCCACGGCCCTGCAGGGTGCCTCTGATGGATGTCAGGGTTTAGTCTCCCATGTGTGCTGGGGTCTGCCAGTGCGAAAGGCCAGAATCCAGTTAAATATAGAGGCCCCAAGTCTGTTTCTGAACCAGCTCTGAAATGATCGCAGTGTTAAATGCTGAAGTATTGTGCACAAACAATAGTTTGAAATAGGAACTTTTACTGCCCAAGTGAGTCAGAGTGGAATGAGGCGAGTAAGATGGCTTCCTCTGAAGACACATTATAGCCATATAGAAATCCATGAGAATCTAAGCACTCTCTGGGATTATTTTTGACCTTTTCTCTAAACCTCCGAAACACTTCATGGCAGTGTGAGTAGTTCTTCAGATCACACACATTATCTTTGGGACTGGGGTGACTGCAGTGTTTTTAAAATGTGTCAGAACCATGAACTCCCTCGAAGAGATTAAATATCCCATAATAACATCAGCAAGCTTGTCACCACATACTTTCAGAATGTCTTGAAATTCCATATGGATAAGCAGCTTTGTGAGTATTAATCTTTTTAAAATTTCTTCTAACAATTCCATCTGAGACAAAGAAGCCAGTGTTCTTAAATGTTATGGAGACTTGCAGGGGAAGACATTTATTACAATATCAAAGAAAGCACAAATGCATACTGGTTTCCATTGAGCATGACCAGGTTTTGCTTTGTAGTCTGTGAGGCTGTGAAATAAGCCATAAATGTCTATGATAAAAGAATTTTTTATATTAAAAAACTGGCAAGCTATGCATTTTTGCATTGTTAAAACATAATCGTGATATAAGTGCATAAGACGTACACCCAAAACACTCAACAAAAAAAAAAGATTCGTCCACGCATGCGCTTGAGACTCGGAACTCCAGCGATTTTGTCCCGGAAGCGATAAGCATGCCGAACCCACGGTAGAAACACGTGTCCTACCCGGAAGTGTTAGCAGAAACATGGTGGCCACTAGGAGTGGGGCACGCTTGTGCTCCTCAAATACAGCTGAAGCAGATGAAACACAAAATAATATGGTATGTTCCTTTTTTGTTTTATCTCGTTGGCCGTGTCATTGGCGTTTATTTATTTATTTATTAAATATTAAGCTTTCGACAACATTGAATGTGACATACCTGAATCAATTGAACGACAACTGCGTCTGGTAATGGCAGTTAACTTTATAAATCTTCTATACATGTCGTGTGAACTTGGTGTTAAAGTTGGTTTGTGGAAGCATTTTCTTGCAGACATCTTATGTTTATTTGCATAGTATTGATTCTAGCTTTGGTGGTTACAGTATACCAATGCTAATCAACGGCATGGCCATTTCGGCCCAAGTTTTGTCGGGAAAATATCTATGTACCAAGTTTTCGTTAATAGCCTTAATAGTGACGTTTATTAGCATGCAGTTGAACTAACGTTTTGTATGCATACTGAGGCTAACTTTTGTTTTACTAATCTATAGTTAAGTTCATCTGAACGCCCATAAAATTACATTTTCTTGCTTCACACGAAGTCGCGTTACTGTCTGCCCACCTTAGTATCTAGCATCAAATAAAGGTTCTGTATATTCATTTGTAACCCATCAATACGGATGTGGTAACTTCCCTCTTAAGGAAAGTAATACATTCTCGCATTCATTTTGAAATCGAGGTTGGAGTAATACGGTGCCCTACATTATTCTATGTGCTTTGCCGTAATATGTAAAATGTGTGAAACAAAACTGTTCGGGTCAGTGAACACTGGTCAGCCATACTGGTTCAGTGCCAGACCCCCCGATCTTGAGTTTATGAAAACTTGATTCAGTGTCCCAATATATTTAAGTTGTCACTGTTTATGTTAAAAGTTTGCTTGATACGATCAAATATGACACTGTTTTAATGAAACCCTGAATTTATTAATCGGAACACATTTAAGCAAACAATAGGTCTAATCTATGAATTAGAATTAAGTGATCAGTGGTCATTGCCTCTGCATTTGACCCATATGTGACTTTCGTGACATAGCAGTGGGTAGCTAATTCAGCGCCCAGGGAGCAGTGCTTGAGGGCGGTACCTTGCTCAGGGTACCTCAGTGGTGCCTTGCTGGTCGGGGATTCGAACCTGCAATCTTTCAATTACAATTGTGCTTCCCTAACCATCAAGCCACCACTGCCTACAACAAGTCACATCTATAATGTGTATAGTTTTGGTAAATTAAAATTGTCGTATGTGATTTCTGCATTATTAAGGGTAAAGAGTGTTTACTGAAAGAAGGGAAGGAATCCCACCATTCACTGTAACCAAGAAACAAAATAGAAGGATGTCATTTTATGCTGCTTTTGTTAGCTAAATGCTGAAGTAATTTGTCATCGACTCCTGGGGGTCATATAGAAAGTGATCTGTCTTTCAGTGTCTCCCAGCTTCTGACTGGCATGTTCACTGTTCGGCTGCTTGATCGTTCCCAGCTTGTTTCTGGTCCTCATCCTGTTTGCCTTCAGCCTTTCCGAGCCTTATGGTCTTTTCTGGTGCACTGGGTCATATCTCTCAAAAACACAAGGTTTAAATTTAAAGATGTGCTTTTTATGAGTGGAGTATCCGTAAAAACTATATGCATTTCACACAATTCAGTCAGTGTTCCATTTATCATCAGGTTTCTGAGATGAGGTAATCTGTCTGTCACTGACTTTCATAGCAGTGTGGGAGCTCAGTGGGCTGCATGGCTGCCTTTAGTGTTAGTTTTCCCAGGATACTCTGGCTTGCCCCCGCAGTCCAAGGACATGCAAGCCAGCTGGTGTCATTGATTTTGCCCATAGTGTATAATTGTGTGTGTGTGTGCCCTGTGATGGACTGGTATCCCATCTAGGGCGTGCCCTGTGATGGACTGGTATCCCATCTAGGGCGTGCCCTGTGATGGACTGGTATCCCATCTAGGGCGTGCCCTGTGATGGACTGGTATCCCAT